TTTTGTATCAAAATTTCTCAAGTCTCATTATTTAAGTCTAATTGGGTAGTAATAATAATTAATTGACTACAGTAATTTATGATAAAGGAACCATTATAATTTACACACACAAAAACTATAAATCAAATTAAATACTCGTAACAATAATGAATCATACAAGATTTCAAACTAGTGCTGCCATCTATTGCAGTTTTCTACAACTACTAAAACGCCGTGTGTTCCAAGCGACCTCTATCGGGGAGTAGCTGAAATATTTACTACAGCTAAAGGCGTCTGTTTACCGTGTTACTCGTCGCAATAACTGTGGCGCTGTAAGTTATGGAAAAACAAACGAAAGTGTAATACTTTCACTTGAAAGTTAATGTAAATTGATATAATTATAAACGCTTTTATGTATCATTATGGTCAACGTGACCATATAAACAAATCTCCGAAAAAAAAGTATGATCAACTATAAAAGTTACATACTTACCTCCCTTTTACTTAAGTGCCTACTAAATTGCTAAAATTGTATGTTAATGTAAGTATAGTATTAATTAACAACATTAAACCAACAATAGTAGGTAATAATAATGTGCATAACTACATAAGTATGTGCTAACGGATGCGACAGTTTCCACTCAAACAGCTTTGCTTAAACTTCCTTTTGGCACCGCAATGTTTACATTCACGCGTGCTGTTGACACAACGCGGCTTGGTTGTCGCTGGTCGCTGGTATCATCAGCGGTCATCGGATCACTCCTCGAAATATTGCTTACGCAATAGCCTTGAACACCATATAGGGCATTCACGTAATTGGGAGCGCCGGCGCAAGCCACTGACTTTGAACTTACTTAGTAAAATATAGGACATTTTATTTAGGTTTAAAAGATAGATACTCAATTAAAAGATTAGGATTTGTTACAGGATATTTACTCACAATAAAAGGTCAAGATATAAAACAGGTAGAGGGATGTAAGCTAAAAGGGTGCTCAATTTGTGCATATTTGTAGGGGAACTTTTATCATGGGGTGTTTTGTCATCACGCGATCACACGGGGCCAGAAAGGTCCACTTTTCCACCTTACTATTCTAGGTATAATACCTAGAGCTTATTTTTAAATTATTTGTGTTAATGGATTCAACACAGTTTTAATTTGAGGTCTTTTAAATTCGGAAAAACTACGTCTGTCGGCAGCCGATTCCACTCCTTGGCCGTTTATGAAGAGACAAAATATGGCGCACATAGTGGTGATAACTATTGCCACTTTACCCGCTATATCTTCTACCTTAACACCAAAGTATGTATAGGGTTACACACGTAATGAGTGAGTAATTTTTCTGTTTATAAAATCGTATTGTATAGGAAACATGTGTTCTCTATTTGCCGACTATTTTATAACCTACCATGAGACGGCACAATGTCCTATGACTCATCGTGTTCATATATGATATTGATTCACCTGGAAAGGGGTCAATGCTGACGAGTATCCATTTTTTGAATTACGTAAAATTATTGACTTATCTTTTTATCATTCCTGGAGTTTAAACCAATTTTTGCTGCTATTAACCGCCTCTGTGGGCTAATGGTAAGACCAATTGCTTCAGACGCAGAGGTCCCGGGTTCGAGTCCCATTAGGACAGTTTTCTGTTCAGTTTGGTTGGTGGTACGGCTAGTTCTAAGTCCGCCTGGCTAGCTACCACCATCATATCTAAGTTTGTGGCTATAACAACAATGTTAATAGCATTGTTGACTGTTGAGTTCCGGCAGTTAGAGGTAAGATAGCCAGTTCCTCCGTGGTTGGTGGTTGATTCCGGGTGAAGCTGGCTTCCACCTTCAGCCTGATCATCACTTTCCATCACGTGAGATACAGGCCAAGAGCATCCTAAAGACGTCATATCATCCCATTTCCTTGAAGATCCTGGTTTCTAGTACAAGTGACAAGTTTCCCCATCTGTCTATCAGTTAGTTTTCACCTACTGCGGGGTATCCTTAGGGGTTGGTAATCTAATGAATTAACATCCATATTCTCATTATCATCGCTGCTGATGTTTAATACAAAAAATAAATTTTTAGGTACGCTGAGTGACCACCTAAACATGTTTAAATGTTGGTGAGCCCTAGAAAAATAATAAATAGATACATTTGTCTTAAATAAGTATTTCATGTATTTTATTACAATACTAAGAAAAACTGGAAGATCAAAACAAAAGGCTATGCGAGTAATAAGGACTTGATGTATTAAATTCAGTATTATTTCTGCCCGGTACAAGGATATACTGGAATTTGTATAAGACAACATAGGCTTTTCAATTTTTCAATCATTTACGAATATAAGCCTTCACAGGCAGTACTTTGTGTGAAGGCTTTATAGAGTCAAAGCCCTAGGAATGTGAAATGGTTTGCATAACAGGAAACGTCGCGTTTTATAGTTCGTTTCCGGGATTGGAAGTATTGGAGCCTGCATTCCTAGCAGTAGTAATATTCTAAAGGGCATAGGTACGAGTACAACACGTTTCTTTGACGCTTTCGTTCTTATTGTAGTTTTCTACCTTATATTATTCGCCTTTTATTGAGCGTTATCATTGTAAGCTTGCTGTGGTCTAAGACCATGCTTACAGCTCGATCGACGAATATTTCGTACTTCTGGCAGCTTTTTTACATGCTCTTTCTTGCTGAAGCGGTTTAATTTACCTATAACGATGCGATCTCGACTCATAGAAAAATTTGAAGAATGTAGCTTTTTACGAAGTGTTTAAAGTGATAACAATAATGGACAAAACAGCATAAAAGAGCAGTGCATGTTGGAACGTAAGATTGATAGTGTCATTTTTATTGTCAAATAAAATCAAGGAAATAAATATTAAGAACTTACTGCGTCCAATGTTTAAAGTACATAGCATGTTCCTTTGGCACTCAAAGTCAATAGAGCACTAAAGAGTGGCAGTGCTGAGCCGCTTAGTGTGAAATCACTTTCAGTCGATTCAGAGAAGTCTCTATGATACTCCATGACGAATATTACTTGGAAATTATTAACTCATTCACCTGCGTTTCCGATGGAACCTAATTAGTGTATAGTTTCAGTCGGCTTTATGCATGCTGCTGGGAAAAGGAAAATGTTCCTGGAAATTATATTTAGACAGCTTAGCTTGTTAGTTCGAGTAGCGGACTTATGCCAGAGGGTTACTAATATTTGCGTGTAATATCAAAGTAATATACAATGAGGGCTATCGTTTTAGCGCTCACCAGTTAGCGCCACTGTAGAGTAAGGTCCTGTCACTTGCTAGTAGCGAAGACAGTGGCACCAACTGGTGAGCGCGAAAGTGGTAGGAGGACTATCGTATTTGCACTAATCAAGATGGCGCCACTGTAGAGTAAGGTCCTGTCAATCGCCAGGGGTGCCAACTGTTAAGTATAAAAACGATAGCCCTCATTACGTCTAATTTGACCTTAGTTGGTTGGGTTTTTATTGGCGGACAAGCTGTAGATCTTGGCTACACAGGAGTTGCAGCGGTGGGAACGAGAGGTGGGAATAGCCCCGTAATTACGTCAATTTTCAATCTAGTTATAAAGTATTTGAGTAGGATTCATAGGGAATTTTAAATGTTGTTTGATTTAGCTTTGTTAAGACTAGAGGCCCAGTGTTAAATGTCACTAATTCACTATAGCATTTCTCTTATAAAAATAACTTTCAGAATCACATCAGTAGTTCCGGAGATGACATGCTCGTATTGCGAGACTCGCAAACTTCCTGTAAAGGAAATTGATTTTATAATGGAAATAGGGTAAGATTTGATAATATTATGTAGCATGTTTTGAGTGCTTTATAAATTACTAGCTTTTGCCCGCGGCTTCGCCTGCATGAAATTTTGTCTGATATAAACACTTTTTGCGGGCGTCCCTTTTCAAAAACCGGGATCAAAACTATCGTATATCCTTTCCCGCGACTCCAACTGTCTCTATACAAAATTTCATCTAAATCGGTTCAGCGGTTTAGGCGTGGAAAACAGACGGACACTTAATTTCGTATTATAATATTAGTAGGAAAGTATGGATCTTAGAAGGCCAGATGGCTGAATTTATTTATACTAACGCCCGTATTCACTAACATTACTATGAGGTCTCACAGTGAACGTGGACGCACAGGATGACTCACGAACCAATCACAGAGTTCTATTCAACGCTGTGCGTTCGATATTGTGAATACGGGTATTCGTTTTCGCACACTATGAGTGACAAATACTCGTAGTCCCGACGAATTTGAATGGTAAATGGATTCCGTGCTAGCTGGTATTAGCCGCTCCTAGTAATTAAGTAAGCGATTTTCGTGACTAGACCAAAGGTGTGACCGTTAATCTGAGGGGTTATTAGGTAAAAAATCGCATGGCAACAGTCTTTGACAAGCCTGGAAAAGCATAGTAGCTAATAGAGCCCAACGGGTTATTCCGAAAAACGTAATCCAAAGTTTCGAATGTTGCCATCCCTCTCACATAAAACTCGATGCCAGCATGAGCGACGGTGACAGATCCCCGAAACTACATAAACAGCGTTTCGGAAACCTTGCAGAAACTTTGCGAGACGATATGGGTGGTAAAATAAGTATGGCTTAAGTAACAAGGGCAAAAGGAAAATTTTAATAGTTTAGTACCTACTAGTATACTAAAAAAAAATTAATTTAAAAAAATATTTTTTAATGAAACTTTTTTCAAAGACAAAGATGAATGTAGTGCTGAGAATCGTAAATGAAATTCTTCATTTGCTTTGCATTGCATTGCATTGTATACACCTTAGTAACTAATCAGAACTCTGTAAAATGTATTATAGTATGACCGGTTAAATGAGACCTCGCCTGCGGAACGCGGGGGCACAGGGGCGGGACGAGAACGGGGACCGTGCGGGGTGCGGGCGGGGATGATATAAAAAAGATTAAATTTCACTAGATAGTTCTCAAGATATGTGACGTCACAGTGAAGTGGTTAACGGTAGGTAAACAGGTGGTGATAAATTTTGTAATATAAATTATTTTCTAATAAAGAAAATAATTTAGTTTATAAAATTTTAATGAAACAATTCATGTCGTATTTCATGTAAAATTTATTGTGTGCAAGATATACCTATCCAAATTAGTAATCAATCACTTATGTCCATATCAATATCAGTAGAACTTGATTCTTCACTTTCAAAGCAGCCATCATCCGAATTATCTGAATCATCGTGCACATTAATAATAAAATCAACAACGTCATCTAGAACTCCGTCATGTTCGCAGTATTCATCCTCGACTTTAATTACATGGTTAATACAATGCTCCCACTTTTCTGCGGAATATTCAGCAAATAAATTTTCCAACATATTTTTTTTCTGGTCCAAATTGGAGTCGATACTTTTTTCTGCTAGCTGTCTTTTAATATCACCCCAGACCAACTCAATTGGGTTCAGGTCTGGGTGGTAAGGAGGCAAACGCAACACTTCATGGCCGTTTGCTTTCAATAACTCATCAATTTTATATAATTATGTCCTCTGTGTAATGGCTTTTAATTAATTTGGATAAATCATCCTTTTTTAATTTATCATCAAAAGGCACCTCATGTCGTCGTAGCCAATCTTGCATTTCTGGCTTGGTAGAGGCCATAGTCGGCTTTTTTTCTACTCTAACCGAATGATAAGCTGCATTATCCATTACTATTACTGAATTTGGTGGAATATTAGGCATCAGCTTTTCATTTAGCCATTTACTAAAATTCACGAAATTCATTGTATCGTGATAATCACCTGTTTTACATTTGGATTTAAATATCACAAGTGCTCCATCGACAAATCCAGTGTAGCCACCACAATGTATGATGATCAAACGCTCTCCTTTACCAATATGAGACAATACTCCGTGTTCATCCTTTGATTGCCAACATTTTGAAACGTTATGAGACGCATTGACATAAGTTTCATCAAGATATAAAATATGTCTTCCTTCTCTACGATACTTTTTAATAGTATTTAGATATTTCCACCTCCACGATGTTATATTTGGCTGTTCAATAAGGAGTTTCCTTTTAGATCCGCATTTTTTAAATTTAAAACCTAGGTCATGTAATAATAATCTTAAATATTCTCTGCCGCAGTATAATACATTATCTTCTCTAAGGGTAGCGTTCAAGGATTTCAGAGTTGGTATTTTTTTAAAAATTGTGTAATACTGAGTAACTTTTCTTCTTACCACGCCTTTTTTGAAATCATCTACTTCCACCCTTTNCACATTGGCCTTACAAACAAGACATTTTGTTTGTGGAGACAGAGTGCAGGCTAGACTATATGGAAGCTCCGCTCAGAAGTGGACATTTGCCACAGTGGTACAGCGCCTGGGCAAGCTGCACTATATCGTGCGTACGGACGGTGGTTTGACCTGGACGCGCCATCTGGACCAGCTGCTGCCGGCGCCACTGGTGCCAGCAGTGCCGCAGCCAGGAATCGCGGCGGAGGCGTGTCATGTCTGACCTTCTTTATGGTTGCTTAGCAACGCGTGTTATTCATTGTTATGACACAGTCATGTAAATAAACATTCAATATTTTATCAAGTATATTATTTTATGTAATAGACCGGTTAAATGAGACCTCGCCTGCGGAACGCGGGGGCACAGGGGCGGGACGAGAACGGGGACCGTGCGGGGTGCGGGCGGGGATGATATAAAAAAGATTAAATTTCACTAGATAGTTCTCAAGATATGTGACGTCACAGTGAAGTGGTTAACGGTAAACAGGTGGTGATAAATTTTGTAATATAAATTATTTTCTAATAAAGAAAATAATTTAGTTTCTAAAATTTTAATGAAACAATTCATGTCGTATTTCATGTAAAATTTATTGTGTGCAAGATATACCTATCCAAATTATTAATCAATCACTTATGTCCATATCAATATCAGTAGAACTTGATTCTTCACTTTCAAAGCAGCCATCATCCGAATTATCTGAATCATCGTGCACATTAATAATAAAATCAACAACGTCATCTAGAACTCCGTCATGTTCGCAGTATTCATCCTCGACTTTAATTACATGGTTAATACAATGCTATTAATAAAATTTATTTGCTGAATATTCCGCAGAAAAGTGGGTTTTCTGCGGAATATTCAGCAAATAAATTTTCCAACATATTTTTTTTCTGGTCCAAATTGGAGTCGATACTTTTTTCTGCTAGCTGTCTTTTAATATCACCCCAGACCAACTCAATTGGGTTCAGGTCTGGGTGGTAAGGAGGCAAACGCAACACTTCATGGCCGTTTGCTTTCAATAACTCATCAATTTTATATATGTCCTCTGTGTAATGGCTTTTAATTAATTTGGATAAATCATCCTTTTTTAATTTATCATCAAAAGGCACCTCATGTCGTCGTAGCCAATCTTGCATTTCTGGCTTGGTAGAGGCCATAGTCGGCTTTTTTTCTACTCTAACCGAATGATAAGCTGCATTATCCATTACTATTACTGAATTTGGTGGAATATTAGGCATCAGCTTTTCATTTAGCCATTTACTAAAATTCACGAAATTCATTGTATCGTGATAATCACCTGTTTTACATTTGGATTTAAATATCACAAGTGCTCCATCGACAAATCCAGTGTAGCCACCACAATGTATGATGATCAAACGCTCTCCTTTACCAATATGAGACAATACTCCGTGTTCATCCTTTGATTGCCAACATTTTGAAACGTTATGAGACGCATTGACATAAGTTTCATCAAGATATAAAATATGTCTTCCTTCTCTACGATACTTTTTAATAGTATTTAGATATTTCCACCTCCACGATGTTATATTTGGCTGTTCAATAAGGAGTTTCCTTTTAGATCCGCATTTTTTAAATTTAAAACCTAGGTCATGTAATAATAATCTTAAATATTCTCTGCCGCAGTATAATACATTATCTTCTCTAAGGGTAGCGTTCAAGGATTTCAGAGTTGGTATTTTTTTAAAAATTGTGTAATACTGAGTAACTTTTCTTCTTACCACGCCTTTTTTGAAATCATCTACTTCCACCCTTTTCCTGCGGCTTTGTTTCAATTTCTTCGGTGATTTAAATTTTTCATTGTTTTTTAATAATTTTCCTTGTTGTACAATTCTAGATACAGTCTTTTCCGATAGTCCAGTAACGTTTGCTACGGTTTTGTTTAACGGTATATCTTGTTGATATTCATCAGAATTTGGATCCAGTTTTTTTTTTCTAAAATATTCATAAACGTTAAAAGCTATTTGCTTGCACTGACTGTTAATTTTATGTCCGAAAATCTTTCGACTCATCTTAAAAATGTAATCTCATGTATAGCCCTCAAAAAGCGTCCGTAACAAATAACACAAGCGTTCGCTAGCCGCATCGCCAGCGAAATGAATTTTGACAAGAATGCGCCTGCCGCCCGCACCCCGTACGATCCCCGTTTTCGTCACGCCCCTGTGACCCCGCGTTCCGCAGGCGAGGACTCATTTCAATTGGTTTATTTTATTCTTTTTCACATGTCAGTACCTATTCTGAGAGAGAAAAAAACAAACGAAAGGAGTTATTATACGTCTTTCACAGAATATGGTCTTAGCAAAGTATTACATTATTTCAAGGAATACAGTATTTCATTATAATTAACTGTTAGGTTTTGCGTCGTATTATCATTTCGTAGTAGAGTTTGGAATCGTACAATATCAAGTTGCATTTATTAACACATTCCAGGAAAATGGTAATTTCGCTTTATCAATACAAAAGCCAATTCATTTACTGATGTGAATGAATTATTCGAAGCAGAGCTTTACGATATTTGATGGAAAATTAATAATTACTTGGATTGAATTTTCACTCTGAAATGAGTCTTCATTCGTAACATTATGAAATGGATTGAGGTGTAAGGCCGTATGTTAAACGACAGGACATCAGACTTTAGATTGTTGTGGCAAAATAGCACCTAAAAAAACATCATATTATTATTAAGGTTTACGGACGAAGTACACTTATCATCCCAGAAACGGATCGTAAACGTATCAACTCGAGGCGGTCAGCATTCTTTGTATAAAACTCCGTACTGCAACGCACACTGATCCCCACCGTAACGTAAACGCGAAAGGCGATACGGTGTCGATACCTTTCCGGGTTGATAAGTTTGCTATGATCTATAATCTGATGTCTGCGGTCTACTACTTATTGGTGACAGTAGTGTGAACGTAGTATGTGAACACACCTTTATTTACTTTTGATGTACCTACAGGTTTTTCTGTACTCTCCCACTGTTGAATGAAGCCCCTCGTAATTTGTCACATTTATTTACGGTCAATACCTATTTAGGTCTGAGTCCGTACTCCGTACACCCTATGAATATTCTCTACCTTTGGTCGTAACTAGACGGCACACAGCAATATGTATCATAGCTTAAAGGACAGTTTCAAGGCTTCACGTGAGCACGTGTCTCCTAGAGTATGTAAAGGACTGGGCCTCTCAAACAAGACTATAAATGGTGCTACAAACTGGAGTAGTTTGCTCTCTCTACCTACAGGGTGCGCGGGGTCTATTCTGCAAAACGATATCGATGTAGTACAATTTCGGTGGGCCTGTTACTCCCAAGATGTCTGTAAATTCGGTTTTTTACTAAAGTTGGTAAAGTTAGACGAGAAATCATTCGTATTTTATAAATTAGTCAACAGTTTAACAAGTAGGAATTCTTCTCTGAAATTCGAACGTTTTTAATGTTTTCATTTCAAACGATTCTATTTTACCATCACAACCCTTTTTTATCTAATATTCAGAGCGTTTGATTAAAAGTAAATCGAGTAAGGTCCGATGAACAATGAAGATAAACATGTGGGAATATTGATTAGGGACTGAGCAGAGTTGGAACAGAAGTGAGTGACAAAGTCAATTTCTCTGCCCTATGACAACTTCATAAATTCGTTGCTTTTACGAACAAAGCGAGAGTGAATAGGCAATTACAGGGCAGAATGTAATATGATCCTACAGACACAGCATATCACTTAACATTGGGATGTGTGTGCAGTGCGATGGCGGTCAAATATTTGCCTTGTTCTGCATTAAAAAACAACAGTTTGCATGAAACTGTCAGCTCGCTAAGGCCCGGAACAGACGGTGAAACGCAACTGCAACGAAACTGCAACTGCTAGTTACTTTTGAGTTGCATCTAAGTTTCTGCCATAGCGTCCGTTGAGAGACCACACATAACGCGATCAGTTTGAAAGTTTCAGTTTCATTCATCAGAATCATCACAAAGTTGTTCCGTCTGTTCTGGGCCTAACTGTTCTAGTTGCAGAGAAATGGGCTCTATAAGTTATAGACTATAACTCTCCTCGGTCTCCCCTGCTCGCTTTCAGAGTCGGACCCCTATTATGCGCGATGTGACACTACGTCATATCTGTGTTTATTCGGCAAGCGTCGGGAGTTTAGTGTCCGTCAGCGGTGAGCGATCGGGCGTTGATAAACAGATTGATTGCCGCAAATGGCACGTTCCGTTTGTCCACTGGATGGTACACAAGATAGTCAAACTGAAACTCTATTTTGAGTAAATGCGGTTGCGGCAGATTCATAGGTACATTCAGTGACGGCGGCAATTTGGTGGAGCACCAAGGTAAAAAGTGGTAGGGCAAAAAGAATGAGACATGTAAACGCTCCTTACACCTTTGACGATTTGTAAAAACTAATTTAATTATTCTATACAAATCAAGATAATTTTGACAATGTTAAGCAAATTACATCGTGGGTGGTAAGACGTTACTCATTAATAAACGTCGCGCTAAGACCCGTGTCTTACTATTTTAATTGAAATGGAACGCAAAAGTTTAAAATCTTATACATCGTGGGTGGATGGATGACCACTCTAATCATATTCTGTCTGTAGTATGCAAGCGCCTCCATGCTTCTTGAGATTCTATGCCAGAAATTATGGGGTACCTACGGCTCGGTTCATCTTCCGTCTCGAGTCGACTGAAGAATGATTAGCATAACTACGAGTATAAGGTATAATATTCCTTAGTAGGAATTAAAAGTGAAATAGTTTAACAAATACTAAGGCACAATTGTGTCCTCGAAACTTTTCCAATTTTTCTCTTCGTAAGGACCCACTCTCCTAGGACTTCAATAAATATTTGATAGAAAATAAATTACGAATTTTATTATTCTAGCTCTAGCCGCTCACAAGTTTGTCTTTAGTAACAGTACCTAAATTTTGTCAAGTAGATTAATTTAAAAACTTTCTTTTAGGAAAATACAAAGTTCTCAAGAAATGAAAAAAAAAAATAATTCATAAAATTCATTTTATTTTCGCAAGTAGGATTTTAAAAAGCACTTTTACACGTCCCAGTATTAACCATACCACTGCTTAGAAACAATAAATGGAGAAGTAGCAGCGCAAGAAACTCAACTATCATTATTATTGTCAACCCCTTTTTCAATGGTTTACAGTCTTCACAGACTTTAGTTAAACATTCCAAACATTGTTCTTTGTAAATGTAAGTTTTTGTAACAACTCCACTCACAATATTATTGAATGGAAGAAGACTATTACATTGAATTATTACTTAATAATACTTAACGTGACATAAGTATTACGTGCACTAATTAGGTACATTCGTGTTTGCTTGTGTCTTCTCAGCATTGAAAACAACATTTTTATTAATTGCGATTTAAGAATTACAACTTGTTAGACAAATATAAATAACAAATTGTTTTAATAGCTTTATTGTCTTATATAGGGTATATTGCAATCATCATCATCATCATCATCATTTCAGCCATAGGACGACCACTGCTGAACATTGCAATAATATCGAACAAATACAATATATTGTATTCTTTTGAGTGTCAACTGTGTGACCTACTCCTAACACAAATTTATTTGTACTTATCTTAATTATATGATCAGTTTTAAAGAAGATTAATTATGAGTATTTCTTAGTATATGAGATTCTGAAGGTGTTAACAGAGTTGTTGTGATGCCCGTTTTATAAAATTTTAGGAATTTAATAATAAAACGTAGCAAAGGTTCATTGCCTAGCCAATGAACAACCATTGCGTAGCAAAGGTAAATTGTTCATCTAGGAGGCCTACTCCTAGATGAACTGACAATCTGGTGAAAGTTCGTTGTGGAAAACCATGGAGCAGGCTTTTGCCCAGCAGTGGACGTCAATTAACTGAAACGAATGACCGAAGGAATTTAATAACCACCCTGTATGAATGACGTGTGTGACATGAAACCTCAGTTCATCAAGTTCGCCAACCCTTGTAATTGGGGCGAGTACTTACTTAGAAAATTGCCAATTACAGAATCAATCCACTTTAATGAATATTTCAAGCCACCAAAATGTAACCCAACACACCCACCCATCAGTAAGTGACGTAGGTAATTGTTTGTATCATGTGTAGAGCAAGTAATTATAAAATTTAAGAATGTATTTTAAACATACTCGTATTAATTTTAGCTAATTGAAGTTGAAATTTCATTTTTAGCCAGAGCGTGTGGTAGGTACTATTCCATCGTTTTGTTCCCACCACTGCAACTCCTGTATAGCCAGGATCTACAGCTTGACCGCCAACAAAAAATCTAACCAGTGAAGGTCCCGGGGGAAAGTTAAACTGTCATTGGCCGCCTCTGTGGTCTAGTGGTAAGACCACCTGCTTCAGACGCAGAGGTCCCGGGTTCGATTCCCAGTGGGGGCAGATTTTTCTGTTCGGTTTGGTTGGTGGTAGGGCTTGTTCTAAGTCCGCCTGGCTAGCTACCACCATCTTACCTAAGTCTGTCGCCATAACAACAATGTTCACAGCATTATTGTGTTCCGGCAGTTAGAGGTAAGATAGCCAGTTCCTCCGTGGTTGAGGATTCCGGGTGAAGCTCGCTTCCACCTTCGGCCTGATCGTCACTTACCATCAGGTGAGATACAGGCCAAGAGCTTCCTCGTTGTGGATAAAAAAAAAAAAAAAAAAAATTGGACCCGCAACGAACTTAATCAGAACTAGTATTATTTATCTGTGAGCAGAAGAACATAGGAGGAGTTCGAAGCTCTCAGACACCAGATCTTCTCATATTCTAGTTAGTCTTTATCGATCTTGACCTCTTTTAAACATCCAAACTTTCTAACACATTCAAATCAAAATTAATCATTGAAAGTTCAGTTTCATTAGCTGTGAAATTATTCAGTATGAATCACTTTCACTATCAATAAGTCAGTTAAAGGATTTGTCATTCTGGATGCGGTCTATGGTCAGGATAAAGCAATCATTCACTTTGACTTGACCGCAGACCGCATCCACTGTGACAAGTCCTTTAACATTTTTCTTTCTTTCTTTCTTTAACTTTGTCCGAAAAATTTGGTTTTATTTTTTCAATTACATTATTCCCGAAATATCCAGGGTTACCTGCACTCAATTTAAAACGTGAACAGTACGGCTAGCACGAAAAATTTTCGAGTTCGAAACGTTTGCGTATTCGA